ATTCAAGTGAATAATATTTTGGCTCCTAGAGGCTGAAGTTCTCTTGCAAACAGAACTGATGTCTCCAAATATTTTTTTAAATGTTAATATATGACTCAAAATAGACTACAGTATTTTTTATTTCCCTCCAACAAATACAGTTACAGATTCCCGTGGTTTTCAAATGTATGCGGATTTTCACAGTATTCTGTCCTCTTTAATATTTGCTGTTTAGTGTCATGCCCTACTACTAGGTTGTGATTTTATAAATGCTAACACAGGAAGAAGTCCATGTGTGTGTTGAGGACAACTATGAGAATGACACACTGCTGTGCATTAGCTTTGCACCTGTCACCTTGACTGCATGAACTTTTACTACCTGTCACACCATGTAGTTTCCTACTGGTAAAGCAGATCCCCTGGGACTTGCAGTGCCCCGTTACTTAAGTTCTTTTTTTCACCTCTGTTTTGGCTCAAATGTTTCTTTGTGTTTTCTGAATACGTCCATTAGATGAGATGACTTGTCACATATGACAACTTATCTGAAGTTTGCCCTAATGATTATCAAGAGTTGTGACAGGTATTAAACATTTCTGCTTTAAAAGGAGAATATTCTTCTTGACAGAGCACAACAGAAGAGAGGACCTCCATATCTGAATCACCTTCAAGCCATTACCCAGCGTCCCTGAGTTCATTAGGTTATGATCACACTTTATACCACCATCATTCTTTAAGCAGATGTAGAACTGAAGTCACTTTAGCAAAAACTAATACTGTGACATTTGATTTAAGGCCTTTTCCCTAACAAGCCTTTTCTCGCTGTCATTTGTTAAATGATTCTACTACTAATAATAATTCTGTTCACAGTATACTGGATTGTACCCAAGCTGGACATTAAACTGTTGCAGGGAGAGGCTAGGATTCTGTGGCTGAATTCTGCCTATAACTCATATTCTAACTCATATGATGATATATGTCAAGCTGATATTGCATGAGAAATTTTAGAGTGAGAGCAGTTTCCCCACTCTTCTCCCTCCACTCCAGATGTTCCATCTGAATTATAATACTGGTAATTACATGCAACCCACACAAGTACAAAAGATTTAAACCTCTTTTTGGATAGCAAACAAAATTCAGGCAGACTAAATCCTTGAATGAGATCTTAGTATCCCTTCCAAATATGAAGGGACACTTTCACAGCCTTTATTTTAGGGATACCATACAGTAATGCTGTCACAATAGTAAAGGTGATTTTTAAGGGGTTTACCTGTCACCCAGAAGTTACGTCAATAAGTCATAAAAGAGAGGTACATAAATGAGAAACTAATCACTTCTAATGTAGAAAAGCTCTCATGTGCTGCTGATATTATAACTATTCTGATAAATTTTTTAAGCAACTGAGCAGATAATGTGAATTTCCTTAATTTTTCTCCTAAGGAGAGAGAGATTCTTTCTTTCTCCCTTGTGAAATCACAGGCTCACAAATGAAAATGCAGCTGTAAGCAGCTAATGTTATGCATGTCTCTGTGAAGTATGATAAGGGAATAAGAAAATAGGGAAAAGAATGCAGAGAAGAGGAAAATACACTCATATAAACAAAGGTAGAGACAGAGGAATTTAATTAATTACATACCTGATTAAAATTATTTAGCAAATTTAGTAAGAGAGTCTCTCATAGAAGGAAAACTTAAAATGGAAGATGGCTTCCTAAAACAGAGGACCATGCTATAGCAGATTTTGCTGGGGCTAAACTTTACAGCTTTAAATAAAACAGTGGATACAAAGAACAATACAAATTAAATTGTCAGACACAAAAACACCCTGATAATTAAGTTAACGGAGTTCTACAGATCAGATCAGAGATGTAACTTTTGTTTTTATCAACGGTTTCCAAAGAACCAAATAGTTTCATAGACTAAAAGCAAAGCAAATGGTATTAGAAGCCTTTTTAATTTGGGCTTGTTATATGAGACAACACTCAAAAGTACATTGGAATACCAGTTTTAACTGGCAAGTTACTTTTGCAATTTTTTAGCAAGTGATTCTGTGATTCAAACAAAGACATAAAACGTAAAAGTAAGAATGACATCAGAAGGGTTCTTCGTTTTTTTTGTTTTTGCATTTGTTTCTCATATTTGGAGTAGTTCTGGAAATGGAATATCTTCAATTTCTAGCCAGAGATGTATGCTTTTTAAAGCTTGTTTTTTACATGCTAAGAGTACAAATAGAGAAAACCTTGGCTTCTAGCCAGCCATAACTATAGATATTTCACATTTTCTGGGTTTGTTCTTTTCTCCTATTGCTTGCTTCTAGGATTTTAAGTGTAGATTTTATCTGTGTTTTGGATTTGCTGTTTTTGATTTTGAATACTTAGTCCTATGTATAATTTATGAGAAGGGAAAAAGCAATGACAATCTCAGAAATTGTTAAAATGCTCCAAAAAAAAAAAAAAGTTGGTTTCAAATGAAAATACAAATATAGTCTAAGTGAGACTTGAATGGATGGTTCAAAATGTAATTTCACATGTGATTAATATGCAAAGGCATTTTTAAAGTGCTCCTAACTACTCTGCAGCCACCCACAGACATCCCATGTGCTCCCCCATCCTTTCATTCTTTGTTGGAACGTGTTTACGTGTATCACAGTCCTGGGCTTTGTAGCAGCCGGACAAGCTATTTGCTTACATCTCTGTGTGATTCACATGCTGAAATGAAATATAGGAACACTCACCTCTAAGTTTGTCTTTGCAAACACCACTCTAAGCCAATTTTCATGCTTGAATACTAGTTCTGTATATATGACTAACAGAATTTCCATGCTTTTTAAAAATCTTGACCCATCACAGCGATAATAATACTCAGCTCTGCTCGCTATCATCTCTCGCAAACTCCTGTCAACACTTATGTTATACAGCAAGTGACGCTCCCAGTAAAATGCACCAAAATTTACTCAATGTAAAATGTATAAATAAGACGAAAGAGAAAAAAAAAAAGAATATAAACCCAAAATGTGAAATATGGGAAGGATGAAATACATTACAGTGATACTCTCAAAGAAAAAAATATAAGTTTTTAATTTTCCCTACTGGAAAGTATTGTTTGCCAGTATTTTTTACTCCATCTGCAGGTATTGCAGGCATATAAAACCTTTCTCTTTTTCAATGTCTAGATACATATTATACATACAAAATAAATGGCACATATACAGGAACACACATGAACATATGTAATCTATGGTTTAACTCCAGTAAACCATATAACAAACACTGAAGAATTGTTCATCTTTTCTATAAACATGCTAACTAAATGTCAAAATGGTACCCTTCATAAGATCTCTCTGGTCAGACTCTTGCCATGGTACCCCATCAAATCAGTCACATTAGTCCAAAACATATCTACTGAAACATCCATATGAGCAACATTCTCTTAGTAGCTTTATTACATAATGAAATAATTCCATACTTATTATCTAACTAATTTACATATTAAGATTTTCCCTTTGACTGAAACAGAACAGCAGATGCATTTTGTTGTAAATAAATGGATTGGGCAAGTGAGTGTGAGAAGAATAGCACAAGACTTGGTAAGACAGAACCTGGTATCAGGTGGGAAGGATTACTAGCTAAGTCAACAGTACCAAATTATTCTTTAAAAAATTACTGCAAAGTACAAAACTACTCCACAACTGGAGACTCATTATTTCTATTCTATGAGCTGAACTGACTACCTCTGCAGAAATGACTCCACCGGCATGAAACTGAAAGTTTAAACAGCAATGGAGTTTTGCCAGGCCATGCAGTGAGAGTATCCAGGATTTGCTTTCCTAAGATCACAACAACTGCTGCAGTTGCTGTGTGTCACATTTCCTGTGTGAATACTTCAAATACAACTGCATTTCCTGGAGCCACCATTCAGGTTGGTTCACATACTGTAAAACCACACAGAGGTTGCCCCATTCACATACTTTCTGTCAAGCTAGTGATGTTTTGTGTTGAATCATGCACTAGGGAAGACTAGTTTTGAAATGAGCTATTCCCTAGCAGTAACCTTGTCTCCCTGCTTGGGAATTTTGCCATCAGTGAACGTGAAATGTGGGTGCTGAAATTCACTATTTCCGTTTATTTTCTTTCTGATCTGGCCTCACTTTTACCTACCCACAAGGAACAGGTGGAGGTGAACTTGAACAACTCCCTATCAAACCAAGTCTGTCAGTTAGTTTGATACCCAAAATGAGAAACAAGCCTTTGGGTTCAGTGAGCTGAGGAAATAAGTTATGCTGAGAAACAGAAAGCCTTGGATGACAGGAATTGCACTGTCTTGCAAAGGACAAAAGACTGAACACTTCAACCACTTATCCTAGAGCTCTCAACAGGAGATGTGACTTCACTACTACTGGGAAACAAGGAGCAATCACTGTCAGATGAATGGAAAGACTTATCACAGGGTACTACTCTGTGGCAATCAAAGTAGAGAGATCAGTAAAGGCAAAAAAAATGCTTCTTTCAAATTCTTTGACATATTTGTAGAAATGTTGAGCAACATCTAGCAGTGGGGCCTTCCCCAAAAGACAGTTACTCAGAATCTGACAAAATTTTATAATCTAAATTAATTTTGTCACGGAAAATAAACTCTGAGATAATTTTTCCTTCTCCCTTTATTGGATCAGAAAAAAGTAAAGTTACTGTAGAATTGTCTCCTCTTACATGTATTAAATATGGTGCTTGTGATGGTACTGCAGCAACAAATTCAATTTGCAGCAGTAATATGGTTCAACAAAAAGAAGGCAAAACAAGATAAACACCATTCAATAAAAATTTTATCAAATGATTCCTCTTAAAATTAGAATAGACTTATTTATTTTTCTAATGAAAAGGGTACGATATCTCTCCAAGGTGTGCCCTGTCACACCACTATGACACTTGCAATGAGCGACATTTTCTCTGGTATTTCTTTTTTCCATGGATGCCATAAAGTGCACCGCATGACTATGAAGTGACGTCTTTACTAACATGTGGTACTTACTTATCTCCCACAATTCCCAAGTTGATTGTTGGATAGCCATGTTCTTGGATTGTAGCTAGGAGAGTTGAACGGTTACTGTCCCGAATCTTTCCTGGCAAGAGGTCATCTTCAGGATTCAGTAGCTATAAAACCAGAAACACTTTCAGTCAGTCTCCTTGGAATATTGTGCCTTTACACAAGCGAGAAATGTCTTCCTGAGATTGGACAGGATATTCTTAGACACCTATCATAAAATGCATGTGTAAAGTAATTTAGTGAATTTAAATTACTAAGATATGTAATGTGCTTGTTTAGCCCAACCCTCCATGTTGCTTAGTTTGTTTCTATCGGTTGATGTCTGCAACATCTTCTTTCTCCTTATGAGTACCTGGCTTTCTAACCTCAAACATTAGAAACTAAAACACAAACTTTAAGTTTCCAAGTTATTGCTTCTATTTAAATGGTTTTAAAGGAACCTCATTGCTAACCAGATTTAAAGGTATTAAAAGAAATTTTGAAGTTCATGGTCTACTGACCAATAAAGATGTTTTTTAAAAACAACAATCTGTACTGGAATAATAGACAGAAGCTTAAATCTTGATTCTTATACAAATTACTGTTTTGGATGAAAAGCTTTCTCTCAAGATAGTATCATACCAATTGCCTTACTTGTGTTACATATTTTGGAAGTCAAACTACAAGACATACATATGTAAACATATTTTACATATATTAGGAATTCTTTTGTAGGACACAGAAGGACAACGCAATATTGTCAGGAGGTAAATAATAATAAGAATGGATCTGTCAAAATTACAGTAATAGTGTTAGGTAGCAAGGTAAGAATAACCTAAAGTGAAGCATGGCTAAATTTTGATGCTTTGGCTGGCAGCTCTATTTCTCTGAAGATTTCCATAGGACGATTAAGAAACTCACTGTGCAGGATCTTTTTTAACACGACACAAAAGAGAGTGCCCGTATTGGTAAAGGTCACTTCAGTAACATGCAAGAACATTCAGTCATACAGAAGACACTATTCAGAAAATCATCATCTGTAATCCTTGTAGCTCTTTAGATTTGTTTTTCTGTTAGTGTTATGTTTCCTTCATGACAGATCCTGACTATGTTATGAAATCTGGCAAGATTCTGTCCCAGCAAGGCTGGCCTCAGTACCTACAGTACCCCGTAGTCACAGAGTAGCCTTCACTGGGGTTGTGGAAGTTTTAAGGACATGGACAGATGACATAATTCAACATATTAGAAGTTTTCAAAATTCAGCATATTGAAGCTGTATGTTTGTGTGTGGACTGCTGCAGGAGGGAATGAGGGAACAGCTATGCATGTGCTTAGTTGGCCAGGGTCAACCCACAACATACGTAAAATTAGTAAATTAAATTATTCTTAAACCTGCTTTTTCTGATGTAGTTAAGACAAAGCAATTATGAAGCTGGTCTGGAGTTCTACCATCAAGAAATTGTCTGGATTTCCACATGTGTAACAGATAAAAAAAATATTAAGGCATGATACTATAGTAAGGCATTTGGTAGTACTATTAGTTTTCAAAGACAGGTCACCTGCCATTTGCACTATAGCTACCAAGGAGTGCTGCTCAGAACAAATCACTCTTCCGGTCATGATTGGCAAGTATGAATTATAACCCTGACTACTCCACAGGTCCTCCCTTGCTGGCAGGAGGAAAGCAGCTGGCACATTGTTGGATATATTACCAAAATTTTGGCAAAGACAATTTGAGAGACTTACGAGAGAGCCCCTGAGGGAGAAAACACAAGCAGCTTACTATGTGTTGATCACACAAAAAAACACCTCATGTCAGCATGAGTTGCCGCTCAAAAAGTGAGCTACTTGGGCACAGGGCAGAAGTCACTGTTCAAAACACTATACTGTCCTGGAGAAGGTACAGAATTCAGCCGTTGATTCTAAATATACTTTTCTTACCTCATTCCCTGTTGACATGACTGCAACCACTGGAAACTTGTTAACTTCTACTTCGGTTACTCCAACAGTTGCTAAGAGGCCAATCTCAGATGGACCCATGTGGGTTCCTTTAGCCAGCACACATTCACCTCTTTTAATGTCATGTCCTATAGGTCTGAAAATCATAGTACAGAAAAAAATGAAAGAAAAATGGAATGAGTTTGAAAGTATCTTTTTTTGATTGGTCCTTCTCTGGGTAAGGAGTGTCCAGGGATGTTCAGTAGTCCAGTTGTCAAAATGTCAGTACTACTTATGGTCAAACAATGACTATAAATATCACCGTCCCTTCTATCTCCTTACAGAGATATTTTACTGCTTATAAAGTAGGCTGTTTACAGACCTGATATCTTGGCCTGGTCGAGCCTGCACCAGGATTCGAACCTCTAGTTCTTCAGTACCCTACAAAAACAAGGAGATCAAATATAGTTGCTGAGCAATTCAAGAAAGATTTATCAGTTTTAATTTCTCTGACATCTACACAGCTTACAGTATTCATTACACTGAGACTGTATAGTTTAAGCATCATCATTGTTCTCCTGATCTGTGTGTCAAGACTAACATAATGTGTGCTGAAACTGAACAGCTTTATAAGAAATTCTCTCTTTGATGTGCTCACCAGGGAAGGTCCAGCACTGAATACATAGTTTTACCCACCTTTTTTTAAATCATAGAATCATAGAATGGTTTGGGTTGGAAGGGACCTTAAAGATCATCAAGTTCCAACCCCCTGCCATGGGCAGGGACACCTCCCACTAGCCCAGGTTGCTCAAAGCCTCATCCAGCCTGTCCTTGAACACCTCCAGGGATGGGACATCCACAGCTTCTCTGGGCAACCTGGGCCAGTGCCTCACCATCCTCACAGTAAAAAATTTCTTCCTAATATCTGACCTAAATCTGTCCTTTCTCACCTTAAAACCATTACCCCTCATCCTGTCACTACACCCCCTGATAAAGAGTGCCTCCCCATCTCTCCTGTAGCCCCCTTTAAGCACTGGAAGGCTGCTATAAGGTCTCCCCGGAGCCTTCTCTTCTCCAGGCTAAACAAGGCCAACTCTCTCACCCTGTCCTCATAGGGGAGGTGCTTCAGCCCTCTTTGTGGCCTCCTCTGGACCTGCTCCAACAGGTCCATGTCTTTCCTGTGCTGAGGACTCCAGAGCTGGATGCAGTACTCCAGGTGGGGTCTTACAAGAGCAGAGTAGAGGGGGAGAATCACCTCCCTCAACCTGCTGGTCACACTTCTTTTGATACAGCCCAGGACATGGTTGGCTTTCTGGGCTGCAAGCACACATTGCTGGGTCACAATCCTTGTATTTATATATCTTTCCTGTATCATGTTCCATGCTTGTCTGTTGATGTGGTATAGTGAGTGGATTCTTCCTCCTCCCCTCAGCCAACTTGATCTGCTCAAAGAATTTCAAAGATGGCATTTCAAAAAGAGCATTGATCTGACAGACAATATGCCACCACATCTGCAGAAAGGTGGGAAGAAGCTATATGCTCTGTTTCAGGATTTTCATGTAGGTTCCTGTAGTGGAAACTCCTACTTGAGAGCTTTGTGCAAATCAGGAAGAGGCTTACTCATCATATTCATATAACGTGAACAAGAGACCGGGGGCCCTAAAAGTCTGATGCCTACTTCAATATTTGTGTTTACCTCTTCAGAATTTCAATGGTTTGGTGATTCATTCAGTGCCAATAAGTGGCACATGACCTGTATTGTTAACATTTAGTATATAAGCCCTGCAAGTGGGTTCATGATATATACACTCAGCTTTGAGGTAGTTCCAGCCTGTCAGTAGCACTAAATCTACTGGAACAGATTTTGTTTTTACATTACTGCATTATCATGTAGTACTTCATACTTTAAGTACCCCAAAGGTATAAATCACACACTAATATTACAAGACATACAAGGCACGCCATTGTGATTTGGAATTTTTACTGGAACAATAGTGTTGTACAGGACACTGGGACTTGTCTCTTTTCTTAAACGCGATATGGACTGGATTTGCTGAACTCAAACTAAGTGCTTTAAACTAAAGGCCCCAAAGGTAGAGTTAATTAACATATTGTTGCAGATTGTGATTCTGTTTACCTACTGTGAAAATGGATAAATTTAAACCCCTGAAAACCAGGAAATGACAAACAAAATTATCAAGCCTGAAAAAACTGATTTCTTACTTTATTATAGTATTTTCGAAATATTGTGTTAAGGGAAATTCTGTTTCTTTTATACCTGCTCCTCTTGTATAAGAGAAGAGACTGTTTTTGGCTCCTAGTGCCCAAAATGTCTGTGCTGGTGCCCACGATGTCCTTTTATCTCCCTTATCCCCATCTGAAGCTGTAAAAGGCACTTTAGGCTTGTGATGAAAATCTAGGGCAACATTTATGCTAAGAATAATTTTATTTTTATGACACTCTGGGGATGGTTGGCTGCTCAGGAAGATTTGAATTTTCCATATCTTTTATGATATTTAAAGATAGCTAGGAATTTTCTTGGGAATTGAATGCCAATGATACATGTGAGTAATAGAAAAGGTCCTATTTAGGACTCCTGGATTACAGGAAACAAGAAAAAAAAAAAGGCTTTTGAGGAATTTGGTAATCCCATGCTTGAAAAGCACTGTGGAAAATGTGACTGTGGACAATATGGTGATGTGTGGAGACTGTTATTTATGGAACTGATGGATATCCCAGAACACTTTAGGAATACAAGACCATTCAAGGTGGCTAGAGGTAGGGCTTGCAGGGAAGTATGGTGTTATGCTGAGAATGTCTTCCATTTGGTATGTAGCAGGTAGAATTCTTCTTCCTGTATATATTAATATATTTTGAACTATGTCTGAGTGTTTTACTCTGATGGTGGTTGTTAACAGCCAGCATCCATACTGATATCCTGATGCTCGGTCTTGATGTAGGATCTAACTTTGACCTCCTTTTTCCTACAAGGTGACATAAAAACTCAAAATTAAAAGGGTGTAGACATGTTTTTGCAAGGATCAGTGTCTCAGTGGCTGTGCATCTGGCAAACTGATAACAATTTCTTCTTGCTGGACAGATGTAGCTCCATAACAATTTCTTCTTGCTGGACAGATGTAGCTCCTTTCAGGCCTGTCACTTCTACAGTCATTTGGGGAATGCTTGCTATGATATTTAAGTACTGTGACCGCAACTAGAGGTCTAGGAGCTCCTTTTAAAAGAAGTACTCTCTGTCTTTTCAGAAGAACATATTTCAGATGTTAGAGATTTCACTTCACTTAAAGTGAAGGAGTTCTTAACATTAAAAAGAAAAATATTCTTGAAATCTGTAGCCACCCAGGCATTGAAAAGGAGAGAAAAATAACATATTAATTAACCTATACTAATTATTTATGTACAGGATTAGCAGAGTGACATATTCAAGGACAAGCAGAAATTGAAGAGTTCTGCCTCACAGTTATAGGGAGGAAAAGGAAGCTGAAGGTGGCTAACCATTCGCTAAAAAATTCAGAGTTTAAGCACATAGCCAAATAATCTGTTCTCACATGCAGAGGAGAAAATGCACAGAAAAAGTGGAATCCAGGAAGACAGTCATCCAAAGAAGAAGTAGAAAATAACAGGTTGTCGTGTACATTGCTCTGCAATGTGGTACTCCTGTAATGATGAGGTGGGCAATGGCCACAGCAAACTTGCTCAGTAAGGCTAATGGAACGATTAACAAGCAGTGAAGGCAATGGTGTATTTTATAGGAAGATATAATCTATACATTCACATCTGTAACCTCAAAGCAGGACTGACCCAATAAATTCTCTGTTAGGAAGAACAGCCTAGACAGCTTGCTGACTTCATCAGATGTAAAAATCTACACATTTACAGTAATAAAGCATGAGAAAGGATCATGAAAATATGTTTCAGTTTGTCCTGTCTTTGTCAGCTTTGAACACTAGAATTCATCTGCTTACACCCCAGTTCCAATCACAATGCTAGCACAGAGCTATGGTAAAGTGGAACAGCTCGTCACAACAGCAGCAGGGGTGCGAAGGCTGATTTGAACAGAGAACCATGCACACACTTAATCCCAAAACTGAACTTGGAAGTTGTGTCAATAAGAGATGTGTCTTCTTGCCTTAAAATCTGTCAGATGATGGCAAACATGACGATCGTGTCCTGAAATCACAGCTGGGTAAGTGAAGATAATGATTCAGAAGGAATTCTCTGAACACAAAGGAAGAGAGAACAATATTTAGGAAGTCCAAGATGGACTGTCTGGGATACAGTTGTCCACAGACAGCTCCTGTGCTTCATCAAAAAATACATTTTACTTTGTTAAGACAACTGTGCATACAGAATTAGTACTACAGTACTCATATTTTTTCAGTGGCATTTTGCAGCATCTGTAAGGTAGAGTGCTAATGTGATTTATAGGTAGGCTGGAAAATCGGTTCAAATTAAATGGAGTTAAAGATGATGTTTTGGCAGAATAGGCACCTTATCCATTTTCTGGTTTTCAGAGGTCTTAAATTCGGTAATTTTCTCATTTTACGGGAGCAGAGAGGTTTAGCGAAGAAACTTAATTACGGTTTAAAAAAAATCTGGGGGGCACTTACTTCCCCTGTTACATAATAAAACTCCTTATAATAAAACTCCTTATTCTAAACATATGCATTTATTGTAAGGTATGTGCACAAGACATATTCTCCAAAATCCACCAAATACACCTTTGCTGAAACGAACCCAACTCTGATAACACAGAACCATCTTCATAGGATAGTTCAAAATAATCCAAGTCATCCCATGGATTTTGCAGCACTTAAAACAGTTCACTTTCCCATAGAAAATCATATTCAGCTTTAATTACATTAGCAGTACTGATGCACTCTAGTATTTCAGTGTATTTTTCTGGGATTGCTATGTATTTTAAGAAAACTTTTGCCCTTCTTATCTGGTGTGTTTAGGAGAACTTTTAAAGTACTCATCTTGCTGAGTTTTAGGATGATTCTGAAATATGAAGAGGACTGCTCTACTTCTACAAATGAACTCAGCAGAAAACAAGGAAATATAATGTCTGATTGATTGCCACTACTCTGTATTTTAAAATGTGAATACACTAGCAACTCAAACTGGACTGCAGTTATGAATCTCCAGGAGGCATCTGCCTTTCACTCAATCATGCTCCCAAATACTTTGGTGTCAGCATTCAACAACTGTAATGAAAAATCAATGTCAGAACATGTAGGTCTGTGGTACTGTTATCACAGCCTGAAAAAGTGAGTAGAATTGCCACTAGGAACTGATGTGAAAATCATCAGACTTCTGAGATAACAGAAGATCTTTTCTGTAGGACTATCTTTCATATTTACAGGCTTGTATCATGAACCGTTTTCTGCTGCACACAAAATAAAAATGAGTTTTAACTCGTGACTCACATCATCTGATTCCCTGATGAGCTCTGTATCTTCCACTTGCACAACTGCATCAGCACCACATGGAATTGGAGCACCGGTTGTAACTCGCATTACCTGGCCAGGCATCACTGTTTGAGTTGGCTGAAAAATAAACAAATAAAAATTAATTTACTTTTGATAGGAATAATCTCAAAGCATTTGAACTTTATGGAAGTAATCTGAAAGACTAAGATTCTTATTTGTGGCATGACCGTGTACTGCTAGCGTATAAACTCCAATGTATCTAAAGATCATGAGGTCATTGCTTCAGATCTGGCTTTTAGGTCCCATGTTAGGTGGCTTCAGATATTTCCCCTTTGATTTCTATCACAAGAATAACTTTCAGAAGAAGCAATATACTGATGCCCTGGTTGGCTCAGAAAAATAACTGACTCAGAAATATAACAGTTAGATTGTGACCTTCTAGAAACTTACATGAGCAAAAATCTAGTAGTTCTCTGTACACAAACATTTTTGCAGAGTACTCTGGTCCCCAGGGCTGAAATGTCTTTGCGTTGGTTTGGAAAACCAGCAGCTCGTAAGTAATGTGACTAGCTGCTTCATTTTTAAGCAGATTTCCTCATACTGAGAGACAGCTCAACACCAGTTCACATAGAATATCTATGTTTGTGAGCGTCCGTTTAGCAAAGCCTGAAATTGGTAATATTCTACAATTATGGAAAAGTCACAGTACATTACAAAGTTTCAGCAGAAGCAATACAAAGAATAGAAAAATATCAGAACAACATGATAAAACAAATAACATAGATTTAATAAATTTTTTCACCAGGCAACCCATTTTAATACACATTTTTCAAAATCCAGAGTAAAGTTGTAATTTGACGATAACCACTTAAGAAAGAAATAACTAAAAGAAAAAACTTTCTAAAAAAAAAAAAAAGAAACTAAAAGAAGCTGGTATGATGATTGAGATTTCATTGCTGGAACACGAGTGCTTGCTCTCCGCAGCACTTTAGTAAGCCCAACTTATTTAGGCATTACTGTTGTTGGTGAACATGTGCTACATACAGATCTACACAGCTGTGATCAGACCAACATATTCTGTACGTGTCACACGTGTAACTCATGTGCAGACTGACTCTATATTCCATATGCAGCACTGGAAGACGGCCAGGACTTCTCAGGCTGTGATTAGCTGGTATTTGACAGCAACCCACAGACCGGCAGGCAGCACTGCCCAAGCACAGTCACCTGCTCCCGCCTGGCAGTCATCTACTCCGTGACTTTTGTCAGAAGGCTGTTAGATATCTATCTGCAAATTCTAGACCAGTGGCCAACATCTCACCTGCACAAAGCTGTGTTTGCCTTGCCCATCCTTCTACTCCACTTCAGCACTGTCATAACCTCTGAAATGCCAGTATTACTTTGAAATGCGTGTATCTCAAAGGTCGCTCACTGGGACAGAAGCCCTAGGAAGAGGCTGGAAATGGTCTGTATCTGGTTTACCCCAGTGCCACAGTCACCTACATAGACCAAGAAACAACTGAGCCTGGAGTTGATTGAATCTTGACCCATTTCTATGTGTTAAAATGCTAAAATAAGCTAACAAAAAGGATCACATTTGCCATATATCATGGTTAGTGTGTTATTAGGACAGATTTACGTTATCCTAAATAGGTATCTAAACCAGATGACATAAATGTAACACTTTTTAAAAAAAATGGTCTTTATTTCTCAGCACAGTCTACACAAGGAGCTGTGGATGAACAGCTGAGATGCCACCATTTATACTGAAGATGCTTAAAAGTGAAAATAATCTTGTCTAGTGTGTTATTTTGATTTTTATGAAAACAAATGTTGCAACAGGCAAAGTTTATGCTTTGGATTATGGGAGCTCTTTTGCATATTGTTGTAGATATCGTCTACAGGTACATTACAGATAGGTAATATTGTTTTGAACCTATTAAAGTACTGATGTCTTTAGTGACAATTTTCAGAAGAAAAATGTATTGCATAAAAAAAAATCATCCCATTTAAAATGCATTTTTTGGGCCTCAAGAACCACAAAGAAAACAAAAAGTCTACGACTGCCAGAAATCAGTGCCTATGATGATAAAATGCACTGCAGCTATCCATGCTTTTGGAGCTTATTACTGGATGAGTTTATTCTTTGGGATGTAATGATGTAAAACATTTAAGCAAATTTATGATACAATAACAATTGCTTTTAGAATTGGTCGTGTTGCTCATATATTTAATTTCCTTTTTGTCCTTTGAGAATTTGATCAGATTAAATTTATGAACAAAAGTCAACCATTTATTTGTGTGTGAATCTCTAGGGCTGTGTTCTTCTGTGCTAGAGACTATGAAGATAAAGTAATGATTGCTTCTCAGAAAGCGTATGTGCTGGTTTTGGCTGGGATAGAGTTAATTTTCTTCATAGCAGCTAGTATGAGGCTATGTTTTCAATTTGTGCTGAAAACAGTGTTGATAACACAGGGATGTTTTAGTTATTGAAGATCAGTGCTTACACAGAATCAAGGTTTTTTCTGTTTCTCACACCACCCCACCAGTGAGTGGGCTGGGGGTGCACAAGAGGTTGGGAGGTGATAACAACTTCACAGAAGCTCTTTTAAAGGCCTTTGAAATCTCACACTTACCTGGGATAGGGCAGTACTGGGTTCTGTCCTTTGCCTTCATCACTGATAATCTATTTATTATTAGTCACTGAATAAAACCCAGAAATAATCTACTGAGCACAGCCTCCATCTCGGACATTTTCTCTTGCACACGATTACACCTCTCCTGCGTGATTTACAATGATCCATGCTCCTTTCTGTAAAGAGGCTCGAGTTAATGTAATGGTGGAAAATGTCTGTTTTCCAACCTAAATTATAACTGTTAGTCACAGTGCCTCTTACAAACGTCTTTAGAAAGTCTTCCAGGAAATGCTAAGCTCCAGCTACGTAAGTCTATAGGAAGAAAACCATTGCTCCCCATGGCTGAGTTTTCCACACAGAGGCCATGTGGATGAGTCGTGACTAGTACTCTCAAATGTGCCTTAACCTCCCCAAAGCAGGATAGTGTCTGAAAGTTTTCCTCAATAGAAAAATAAAAAATGGTTGTTAACATAAAGATGACCATCAAGAAGTGTAAATCGGTAAATAATATACAATTTACAAATTGATACAGAAATGTCCAACTTGGCTACTTGGCCTCGCCACAACTCTCAGTCCCATTTTCCTCCTCTCTGTGTAGCATTTACATAACTTTTTTCAGAGGAGCCAAATCTAAACCTATTTTGAACTCCCTGCTGTGAATCATTCTGCTAATTGGTCTGTAACATGAAAAGCAGAATGTTGCTGCTGAGAGTGACTGAAGGGTGAAATGAGACTGAGGAGCCTTCCAAGGCTATAAATAATTTCTTGGGAATGAGATGAACCTGAAGATGTGTTGGCTCAAGAAAAAAACTTTAACCAATTATTCAGAAGTCAACAGCCTCATTTTTCTAGCTCACCACTGGTATTTTCAGAATTATTCTCTCGCTGCGTGCCTCTTCCCACCCAATTTTTTTTCCTCACCAGAGAGGCTTCCTATTCTCATTAATCTGGGAGGACAGACTGTCCCTGTAGAGAGACATCTGTGAGCTCTTGAATTTTGTAGGAGGGGAGCAAGCTCCCATAAAAAAAACTGATTAGGACACTGAAACCCTTTAGACCTGTGGGCAATCCTCCCCATTACACATAGCCTCAACAGTACTGTTTTTAAGCACCACTGTGCTGTGATATTTTTTAACTATAAAAATTAGAATATTGATGACAGGTGACTAATGATAGGAGTGATAATTCAGCAGGTTGCTCTGCTGGTTCTTGCTGTTTTATAGTGACCACAAAGAGAGTTGTAGAAGTATTTGTCAGTCTTTCAGATGCTAAACTAATGCTTGAAAATGCAGACAGAAGGGCTAAAAATCGAAGGCAAGCAAAAAACCTGCTGAATTAATTAGTTTATTTTTTTAGCACTTAAAGTAAATTTACATATTTTGTATAACAGATTCATCAATCTAAGTTCATGTGAATATCAGTACTGAGAAGATGTCTATTATACCAAAGCATAAGTCATGATGATGGATGAGAACTACAACAAAAACTATTTTCACAGTTCTCTGTATCTATAATGATTAGCCAAATTAAATGCCTATTATACATTTAGAGGCAGTTCAACTCCTTTTTTTTTTAAAAAAAAAAAAAAAACAGAACAATCCTGAAACTGGTAATACTTCTGAAACCTGAAGCAACTTTTGGAATGCATCTATTTTACTTGAGACTTTTTTGTTTAGCAAAATGGCCACACTGTACAATCCTCATTAAAACCAATCAATCCTTTGTTTCGCCTGTTACTTATTCCATTTCTGCATCATTTCACACACAATACACAGAATTAAAAACTGGGACTTGAAACAGCTGGAGAAACATTTTGGATTAACGGATGCTCTCCTGAAAAGAAGGTAGCAGGTATAATTGAAGTCTTGAGTGTGAGAACAAATTCCAAATAGTGTCCATTCATTAATATTTATACAGCACAGCAGGTCATGAATGGGTGCTGCCCTGACCTGCTCTTAAACTCAGTCCACGTATCTTCCGAGGTGTGCAAACACTGTTTTAATTTAACAAACAGAAAAGGAGCAATACTGCAAACTAGGCTGCTCCCAGGTTTCCTTAGGATGTTCTGATCATTACCTACCTTTAAAGGCTTCATATAAAATTCTTACATTTTGTTTTGCAGGTATCAGCGTGAAATATGCATGCAGCTTGTGGAAACAGTTATTGGGCTGACGGCCCTTTTAAAGTCTGTCAGTAAGAAGGGGTTAAATCTTGCATTTCTCTGTTTATGAATTGCAATGCCACTAGAAACCTTGTGTCCTCTAACGTTGTACTAGGGCAGAACATTACTGTGTGCACTCCTATTGGACATGTCAGCACAATGCTCTGAAGTATTTTGGGATATCCTCGTTAGTTCCTTATGTAACCGTTCGACCTCACTTTCTGAAATCATATTTCAAGGCACACAGCAGGAGGCTAGGCACAACTATGCCCCACTTCGTGCCACCTCTGAGAATACTGAGTTTTGGAGCACTAGCAAGGCTTTTAAAAATACAAAGCAGTATCTTACAAGAGAAAAATACATTAAAAAAAAGAAAAAAAGAAATTTTGCTCACCTGCTCACCAGCCTGGGATTCCCCTATGATGAATCGATCTCCTGGGCCATCAGCAGCTGTTAAGATGGACAAGACAAATGGTAAAGTCTGACCCGAAACAAATGATGGCATTAGAAATTAGGTACAGAAATGAGTACTTAAGAAATAACGAACCATCTAAGATTCAGTTCTTCAGTGTCAGCATGACAAAGGTTACAGAAGTTGTGCAAACATTTTACATTTTAGGTCCTTCTAGGTTGTGTTTATTATTTTGAAAATTACAGGTTCTATGGTACTTTTAACTGAAAATCTCTGGGGAATACAGGATCAAGTAAAAGGAGATTAGAAGGACTTATATTAATAACAAATATTTAAGAGTGTTCATAAGATTATTTTTATAAAAATGTCCACCATGAGCAAATCTTTTTCTATGTGAAACTAACAGAGGGGAATCACATATTTTTAAAGCGTATTATGTACCTTTTTTCTAGACAACAACGGAATATTGACATTTCTAGATTCTATCTCTGCCTTTGGAGGAAAATGTGGACAAGTGCAGTGGTTACAGACTGTGTACATGACCATACAGGTTTGGCATTTTCTGAAGAGCAATAGGTATAAGATAATGCAACTTGGACTGCCACATTAGAAGTCTGGGTTCTGTTCCTTTTTGTTTTTCTAGGAGGTAGTACTGAACTATTTACCTTACACCTTTCACTGAAGCCATTCTGCAAATTAAAAGTCAGAGATCATTGATTTAATGAACTAAAAGTCTCCAGGACTTCTAATTTAGCCAAATCTGTACTTTTACAGGGACAACAAAGGCACCGTTACTAAAGAAGTTTAAGCTTCTGCCTGCCTCAAAGGTCTTTTGGCAAGTTGCATTAGTGGTATCATAGGCTCTGCCATGGTGTACAGCACGTATGGAGCACAAGCAGCTCTGCCTGTCCAAGCACAGCATTCAAGAGTGTTCAGACAAACTGGGTTCATATGATCATATTTAAATATGTTTTTCTATGAATTTTAAATCTGTAACTTTGACTTCCTGGAGATAAACTTTTATCTTAATACCTTCTGTTTTATTTCAAAAGTCCTGACTACACAGCTAGATAACCTTATCGTATTGAAAAGAATTGCTTTCAGGAAGGATGCCCATTCAGTCTGTATAAAGATTTATCACATTTGTACTCATACTTCAGCTGCACCTCTGCAGATGATGATGATCTGTGGTACTTAGTCATGTTTGAAGACTAATGATTAACTTAACTTTAAAAGCCTATCAGTCTAATCAATGAGCTCTAGAACAAACTCTAAAATAAGAAAGCGGAAAAGGACTCTTCAACTACTGATCTTTGAATAATGCATATAATACTATTGAATACAGTTGTCAGACCTTCACTGAAAAAAATGCACTAGGATGATCCAGCAAAATAAGAGAAAGAATTCCCTAATAGCTAGATTAGGGTCTTGTGTGTTGGTTCTGACAGAAGTTGTTGAAGTTGGCATTCATGATCATTCTGCTCACCGAGCTTGGAGCAATCAAGTTGCAAGACAGCATTGGCTTGATCCCAAGGCCCTTGTCAGTCAGCGTTCTACTGGGAGCTCCCCCTCTCAGCTTTTCTCAGTGTTATATTACTTGTGTTTCTCTGGCTACATCAGCCCTCCCTTGCTGCTATCACTGGTCTTTATGGTCTGCCTGTCTCCGCGCACATAGATGATGGACAGCTGCAGTCAAACTTGTCTTGTAGACATGTAATTTCACTTTTATATCAAATCCATGGCGAAGCTATTGGACTACATCCATTGCCTGGGTTTGTAGATGGTCTATTTCATGGACAGTTGTTTTCCATTGTTTCAGCTGCCAGTAACAAACCATATATTTTAATGTCTCTAGAAGAAAGTTGGCCATTGTGACTAAATTTCAAGATGGGGTTAGAAAGACTCAACCCCTACCACAACAAAACCAGTAGTAGTATAACAGTAAATCGCATTGTCCTGGTTTCGGCTGGGACAGAGTTAACTTTCTTCGTAGTAGCTAGTGAGAGGTTTGGATTTGTGCTGAGAAGAAGGGTGATAACATACTGATGTTTATAGTTCCTGCCAGGACAGTCAAGGACTTTCCAGCTTCTCTGCTGTGCAAAGGTGTGTGTCTGCAGGTGCAAGAGAAGCTGGGAGGGAGCATAGCCCACAACTGCTGGCTTAGGATTCAACCTCAGGTTTAGTACTGGGACACGAATTGGACGAGATATTCCATATCATGCATGTCACACCCAGTAAAAAGATGAGGATCTCTCCAGAAATTCTCTCTCGCTCTCTGGGTTGTCTCTCTCTCTCTCTCTCTCTCTCGGTCATCTCAAAGACTCTGGGGCTCTTATCTTTTGTGGGATTGCAGTTTCAAGACTATCTCTGGTCCGGGATCATTAGCGGGCAATGGGCTGAGCCTTGGTCATCAGGTGGTAAGCAGTTGCACTGTGTATCACTCATTTGTATATTATTATTACTTTTATCATTATTATTTTCAAGTTTATTGTACTTTACTTATTAAATGGTTCTTATCTCAACCCATGAGTCTCTTTTCCCTTTCCCCCTTTAATTCTCTCCACCATCTCTGGGAAGGGGGAGAGTGAGTGAGCGGCTGTTTGTTATTGAATTGTTGCTAGCCGGGTCAAACCACAACACATATATTTTAATTTCCTCCATAGGTATCTGAGTTGAATATCATTATTCTTATTGTATAAAAGGAAAAAATGATGCACAGAGAAGCAACTTGCTCAAAATAATGCAGCATCTAGTGGCAAAGCAGAGGATGGATTCAGGTCTCCTGGGAAACCACCCACTGCTTGATCCGTAAAGTCACACTACTAACTTTATTTATATATAGCAACTGCAATATTTCCAAAGTAAAAATGAGTTTTTATTTTGAGGTGCCTCCATAAGAGTATATTCTGATATGTATTATTGAGAATTCTCTAATGCAATCATAAAATAATTCACAAATAGGAAGCTGGATCTGTACCAGTTCAACAAAGTAACAGATATGTAAGAAATTCCTCATTAAATCAACAACAGAGGAACAGAAGAGGAATCTGTCATTCAGAAACAGATGTTCTATTACTATCCTGAATTTTGTGTGTTTCCAAGAAACTCACCAGCAATACAGGGGCACGTCTATAAGCACACATGGATGTATGTTTGCTCATGTACATGTGTCCACTTAAAAGATCTGAATTCAACTTTCTGGTCTTCCTTCAAGACAGCTGCATTCCACGTAACTGTGACTTCTCCAATGATCTGAATCAAATCTCAACCAAAATAACCATTGCAGGATCAAAAATAGGTGAACTAACATGCTATAAAGTGGTTTTACAGACACTATACTGCATGTCTACAAAGTGAGTGTTTACCTCTGACAGCATAGCCGTCTTTTACTGATGCTGGAAATGGTGGTAGATTATCTTTTGCATATACATCTTGAGCAAGGACTCGGCCCATTCCATCTAGAAAAGAGAAAAGAGAAAAGACCATGCTCCATGTCATCACAGCTAGTGAAAGGGAAAAAAACCGTTTACAGCAGTGTGCTCTGGATGAAATGTATGTGTATGTAACATGAATAGAGGTCTCTAAGTTTCTGATTTCTGCTTCTACATAATTAAAAAAAGACGAGCCTGAAAGTACTGATGAAAGATTTGTTCAGTAAATCTCTGTTCCTGGTCATGGTGAAATTGCTGATAGCAGATCTGAATGCCAAATATCCAAACCCAGAGGTAACAGAACTGATATAGGATCAGACAGAAAAAAAAAAGATCTTGTTTCATCAGGACAAGTTTTTAACCTGAAATCTCTTAAAAATACATACTTTCATGTATATACATTTTTTAAAAAAAGGTATTTTAAAAAAAGCTTTTAAAATAACATTTCAAAAGTGAATCCTGTGTGTAAAAGGTGAGAGGTGATGGATTGAGCCCAGAGAACTCAATGTAAACAGTAATGATGGACAATTTTCCATAAATTGACACAGAAGTTTCCAATAGATTAGTTTTGCCTAATTGCTGAGACCATAAAAAAAATGAAGGGAGAGTGAACATAAGTGTTAGGATTATTTATGTAAACTTATGTTGTTAGAGTTCTAAATATTTTAATAGCTATTTCAAACATACTCTTT